CTTCTGTATATTCAGGAGCCAACTCTGTTGTATGTACATGAACACCCATGAACCAAGGTCTAGGGCTGTGTGTTTTCATACATGTTCACAAGTTTTCACATGTATTGTGTGTGTGTGTGTGTGTATTCATATGAACATCTAGTGATTTGAATATACATGAACACTTATGAATCACGGCATTAAGATTGTGTGATTTTTGATGTGTTCATATGTCAAGGGTGAGAACTGTCGAACATGAACACGTATGAAACCCCAATGTCAATATTGCATCATGATCAATTGTGATATTTTCAAATTTGTAAATCCCAATAAATTATTTGGGAGTTACATAAAATGACAAATTACTTAAATACCCTTATATTTAATATATGAGTTACATTTGAACCAAAGAAAACGATGGAATATGATTGGTTGAGCTTGGTTAACATAGTTAACACAAAAAAATTTGTTAGTATTTGAACCAAGCTCTCTCTCTCTCTCTCTCTCTCTATATATATATATATATGTGTGTGTGTGTGTGTGTGTGTGTATCAATGGAGAGATACATCTTGATTTTAGCATTTCGTTTTTTTTGTTTCAGTCTATGTTATAATACGGTTTGATGTGATTTTGAGAAAACGATAATGTTTTTATTTTTAAATAAAATATTAATATGAAGATATCATAAAAAATTGAGAAAAAAATATCGATTCCATGCCAAACTAATTATTTACAATTTCTCATTTTTTATGTATTTCTATAATTCATGTTTTTATTTTTGGTTTGATAATATAATTTCTTATAAAAATAATAATTAGGTATTTTTTTAGAAGTTAATAATTATCTTAATTATATTTTAGATTTTTTATATTTAAAATGATATGTTTATCCTCAATTTGATTATATTTATCTGCAGTTAGTTATACGAATTCAAACATGAAATTTTAATAAGTTGTATTTATGCACAATTTACTTATAATCTTGAATTTTAAATAATATACATCAATATATAGTATTTCATGTATAAAAAATGATTTTTAAAATATTTTATCAAATACTTTATAATATAGTATATATAAACAAAATCCAAAAACCAAAAATAAAATAAAAATAACAAAGCTAAGGGACTAAAAATAAAAATATGATACCGACAGAAATGACCGGCTGCATACACATCCGTACCAAGTCATCTCTGTTTGCTGACGACTTTGAAACCCAAGGGCCAAGAACAAGTAGGCATACAAATTGTCAAACTTTGACTCCTTAAATTTAACCAATTTTGCTTCTTTACCTTCCATTCTTCTTCAACCACCGCTTCTCTCTCTCTCTCTCTCTCTCTCTCTCTCTCTGTCTCTCTGTCTGCCATGAATCACAAACACGCATGTTTTTATCTCCTGCTCCTCTTCTTCCTCCTCCAAAATCCGCCGTCCTCCGCCGTCGATTTCGTCATTAACTCCTTCAACTCCACCACCGTCTCACTCTATGGCAGCGCCACCATCCAATCCAACATCCTCACCCTCACTAACACTACTGCCGTCCAAACTGGACGTGCTCTTTATCCAGACAAGATCCCCACCAAGAATTCCTCATCATTACTTCCCTTTTCTACCTCCTTCATCTTCGCCATGGCGCGCACAAGAAACGTTCTTCCCGGCCACGGGTTAGTGTTTCTGTTCACCCCTGTCACCGGGATTCGGAATACAGACGCAGCTCAGAATCTTGGTCTTTTTAGCAGAACGGTTGATGGGAATTCAAGCAATCATGTGTTTGGTGTTGAATTCGATGTGTTTAGAAACGAAGAGTTTCGAGATATTAATGATAATCATGTTGGGATTGATGTCAATTCTTTAACATCTCTTAATTCATCTGAAGCTGGGTATTATCAAGATCAAGATGGGGTTTTCAGAATATTACAGCTTAACAGCGGTAGAAACTACCAAGTTTGGATCGATTATAAAGATTCCATGATTAATGTGACCATGGCTCCTGTTGGGATTAAAAAGCCCACCAGGTGTTTGATCTGTCTCCCTTTGAATCTTTCTGATGTTTTTGAAGATGAAATGTATGTGGGATTCACTGCTGCTACTGGGGCATTGATTCAAAGTCACAACATCTTGAGTTGGAGTTTTAGCAACTCAAATTTCTCTTTGAGTGACTCTCTGATCACAGAAGGGTTGCCTTCTTTTGTGCTTCCAGGTGAGCCTATTTATCGATCAACCGGATTCATTGTCGGTTTAACATTAGGGGTTTTCTTTATTGTTGTGATTTGTGGTTTGGTTGGTTTTCTTTGGATCAAAAGAAAGAGGAGAATAGCTAAAGAAAAAGCCAATATGGAGGATTGGGAATTGGAATATTGGCCTCATAGAATACCTTTTCAAGAAATCGATATGGCAACAAAGGGTTTTAGCGATGAGAATGTGATCGGAATTGGTGGCAATGGGAAGGTTTACAAAGGAGTTATAGGTGGCACAGAGATCGCGGTCAAACGGATCGCTCACGACAACAATGATGGTGTGCGAGAGTTCTTGGCCGAGGTTTCAAGTCTTGGAAGGCTAAAACACAGAAATTTGGTGGGATTAAGAGGATGGTGCAAGAAAGAAAAGGGTAGTTTGATCTTGGTATACGATTATATGGAAAACGGGAGTTTAGACAAAATGATATTCAATCGAGAAGATACCAAAATCTTGGAATTTGATGATAGAATGAGGATCTTAACAGATGTAGCAAATGGGATTTTCTACCTGCATGAAGGGTGGGAATCCAAGGTTTTACATAGAGACATCAAGTCAAGCAATGTGTTGCTTGACAAAGAAATGAATGCAAAGTTGGGTGATTTTGGGTTAGCGCGGATGCACCAGCATGGTCAAGTGGCTACCACCACTCGCGTGGTTGGAACCGCAGGGTACCTCGCACCAGAAGTGATCAGAACAGGCCGAGCCTCAACACAAACAGATGTTTTCAGTTTCGGAATCTTGATTCTTGAAGTTATATGTGGAAAGAGACCAATAAAAGAAGGAAACATCCCTTTGCTGAATTGGGTATCCCAAATGATGGAAAAAGGCAAACTTGTTAACGCCATAGACCAGCGGCTAATCGCAAAGGGTGGTCTGGACCATGAGGAGGTCGAAATAGTGTTGCATTTGGGGCTGTTATGCGCGCACCCGGATGCGAAGGCTCGACCAACGATGAGGCAAGTGGTGAAGACTTTAGAAGGGAGGAACAAGAACGAAGCAGATGAATCTGAAGGGGATGATGATATGGGAGTTTATTTGCTGGAAAGGATGAAATCCAAAGATTTGTGGTCAAAATATTCAGAAATATTAATGAATTCAGGATCATCATCGTATTCACATCCAAAATTTGGGGAGGTTAGAGCTGGGATTTCTTCTTCTATGTCACTTACATTATCTGATATTGTAGAGGGTCGATGAGTTTGAAATTGTATACATATATAACACTTGGAAAAGAAAGGTTTTTTAGGTGGTTTTGTGACATGGGTTTTGCCTGGATTTCAGGGGTGAAAGTGGAAATGGATGATTGAGGACAGGGGCAGAACGGGATTTTGCTTTTATTTTTTGTATTCTTTTATTATTGTAATTACATATAGTTTTGTGTGTTCTTGGAAACATGTAAATTACCTTCATGAATGTAACAATTCCTCCAGGTTTATTTGTCTATATCTAATTTGTTCATTTTATACAATTCCTCCAGGTTTATTTGTCTATATCTAATTTGTTCATTTTATAAGTCTGGGTCTGTTCTAGGTACATTTTACTTTTTTGATTAATCTGGATATCCAATCCATTATACGAGCCGATTAATCCCAGGGCGACCACCTGCTTTGTATCGCATTTGAACCTCCGTGGACACATGTGGATTTTTATTCCTCCTTGGATTTGAACCTGAGACCTCCTGATACTTTTGACCTTTGAAGTCAAGTTCAAACCAATAAGACACCACCCTTGTGAGTTTGTAAATTTTACTTAGAAATCATCATTTGTGGGTTTGCTCTTAGAAATGATTTTTGGAATTTTGAGAAACTTTTTTGCTTCTAATAAATTCTCCAAAACTGTTATTCAAAATTAGAAAGTAACCTCTAAATTTACATAACTCTAAAAAAATGAGATCATGAGACGAAATATCATTTTGTTATATTATTTTCAATAATAAATTTTGAAATCAAATATTTAGAAAAGATAAATAATATTTTATTAAATTTATGAAATATTTAATAATATAGTTAATGTTGTAATCTTTAAAATAAGAAATTGTTGGAATTGAATATGGTTTGGTCGCAATTTACCAAGCTAGACTACAAAAAGACGGTATGGTCTGGCCGATTTAAACGGTTTGGAAGTCTTATGGGTTTAAACTTAGAAAAACATGAATATATTTAAAAAGAAATTTCCACCGGTATAACATTATTAAAAAATAGGATATCGAATTATAAATGATAGATCTATCTCTATAACGAAAAAAATAAATCCAACAATAATTGGAATTTTGGACAAATATTGAGCAAGTCGAAAGACGATTTGAAATTTTGAATTTGATTTTCAACAGACTTGGGAATTTTGTCAATTCATATAGACACGGCCAACAGAGAAATGAAAACTAAAAACATAATATCTTGGACGAACTTTTTAAATCATGTCATATAGTTGAATCTATAACATGAAAGATAAATATAACTAAGATATGTGTATTTTTGGTGGTCGGTTTGGTCCAGACCACTTAAAAAACGTTCAAACCGCCTTGGAGCATATCGTGCCGAGCGGTTTGACAATTTTTTAAACAGGACCGGACAACTATAGACCGTTCAAAACGCCAAAAATGTTCTAGTTTGATTTAGTTTAATCGGTTTAGACAGCTCAACGATTTCTTTAAATACTCTTATGAGCATAACTATGCACCCGGCAGTCAGATTAAGGAAGATTGGAGTGTATATGGGAGAATCGGATTGTCGAAGGAATAAAAAGAAATAGAATCAAGTATAAACAATAAATGAAAAATTAGGAATTGAGATGCGCACGAAATTTAATTTTAAAAATTAGATTATAAATTGTAACCAATCTATACTATATTATAAATCATTTGATAAAAACTGTTAAAAAATCATTTTTTATGTATGAAGTACTATTTATTGATGCATATTACTTAAAAATTAAAATTATAAGTAATTTTGCGTAGGTACAACTTATTAAAGCTCCATTTTTAAATTCGTGTAACTAACTACAAATAAACATAATCAGATATAGGATATACATTCATTTTAGATATAGAAAACCTAAAATATAATTAAGATAATCATTGAGGTCTAACAGAATGTTTAATTATTATCCTTATAAAAAATACATTATTAAAACAAAAAATAAATTACTTTATTATTTAAATATAAATTAAATTATAATTAAAAATTGAATTAAAGAAGTTATACCAAAAAAAGAAAACTATTAAATAATTAATTTGATACTAATATCGGTTTTTTTTTCAAATTTATATTTCATTAAAAAATAAAAACATTGCCGCTTTCTCAAAACCATATAAAATCGTATTATATCGATAGAAACAAATAATAAAAAAGTAAACATTAAAATGAAGATCTATCTCTCTGCATTATGCGAATAACTTTCTAGTTATAATAATATATTTATATTATAATATAATATAAGACAGATGAAATGGGTATGTCTGCTTTTTTTGATTGTTTGTTAGTCTTAAAGAGGTAAATCCAATCCCACCTACTTTGTAGAACAGTTTTCCAAATTTGTTTTCCTAAAAGTGAATTTAACGGGTCCATAAACGACGCTAACTTTGTTCACATACTAAGTTGGTTTATGAGAATTTGTGTATATATGATATTGTTTTCAGACCATCGTTTATGAATGAATATAATTTTGTATTAATTAAAATATAAACAAATATAACTTTATGATAAGGATTCTTGTTTGGTGGAGTGGAGGCGACTAATGCAACAAAATTCAAACTTGTCTTGTTTCAAATTGCTTTTTAAAAATACATTTGAAAATTTAATATACACTAATTCTGTCAAAGATATATATATATATAAAGAGGACGTTTCAAATGCAACCAATTTCATTGGTATAACCAATATAACCCAATCAATTAAGATATCTATGAAAATGAGAAGAGTTCATTTTATTATGATTTAAATATTTATGCAAGATGACTATGATTCATTAATTATGATTAATACTTTATATTAGGAAACGATCCAAACTTTTATGAAATCACATATTCATCAAATTAAATAGACGGTTAAGATTGAGTTGTATTAGTTATATATATATATATATATATATATATATATATAGACTTGGGATCATGTGAGACCAAAGGTTTTTCGTGAGACCCGTAAGACCAATTCTTAACCCTTAGATTAGATCTATATATATAGGTTAAAGAAAGAAAAAATATATAGGTGAAAAATACCCCTACAAGTTTAAAGTTTAATGCTAAATTTTAACCATTGGATCATTAGATTATAAAATTGATCAATGAACATAAATTGGTCTTACGGGTCTCACGAAAAATCATTGGTCTTACGTGAACCCAACCCTATATATATATATATATATATCCTGTTGACTATACGTAGCGTGTACATCATTACTATATCCTTTAAAAAATGAAATGATTGATTTGGAATATGGTTTAATGATATTGTTTTGGTACTCGATGATTATGTAAAATAAAGTGAAAGATATTGAATTTAATTATGTTGGATCATATCATTATTTATCGTAATAAAAAAACACTTTATCTAATTCAAATATATACGAAGATAGACTAACGTTTACATTCGTGATCTCCAGATATTTGTGGTCCAACATGGATGAGGGTTGCTTGGTCCACGATTGAGACGAATAAGAGACATGATAACGTGATAATTAAAGAAATGACAAAGAAAAAAAAAATGAATTTGCTCTGAATCGATTTTACCCCTTGAACAATTGGAGCTAAAGCATAAATCGGCAAACTTTGAAAATGAGTTCAATAAACCTTTTATTGATATTTGAGTTGGTTACAAGTAAAACACGTATGTTAAAGGAAAAAAGAATATACAAGTATGAGTGAATGGTTGAAAGAGAACGACGACGTTAACCATAGTTCAAAGCTTCCAGTGTCGACCATGGTCCTACCCCTTTCCTAATGTACCCTGCGAGTTTCATGGGTCAGTGGATGCGAGCCAGAAGAGTTATGGTCTATGTGACTATATATTCCTAGCTTATAACTGCCAAAATAAAATCAAACCCAACACTAAAAAATTGCATCGGTTTAACATAAATCCCAGATGAAATAACTATAACGGAACATGATAGAATAGAGGAAACCAACTGAGATGTAAGAAAAGAAGCACAACTAACGACCATAATTAAAACTAATGCCTTAGATGAGATTCATGCAAATTATGACCATCATGGATTGAAATTGTCTAAAATGGGTTTAATAGGATATCACATGGCTTACATGTTGTATTTTATCGATTCAAGAAAATGTCATCCCATATGGGTTTAGAAAATAGAAAATTGCATTAAGAATAAACGTACATTCATTCAATTCATAACATGGTGTACATGCTTTTAAAAGACACGTTTAACTGTCTAGTTCAAAAAACACATGATTAAAGGCCTATAGTTTGAAAAGGAAGTAAACAATGCACGATCAAGTTTCACATGAATCACTGGATACCAGATAAAAAGATCTTTAATTTTTAATGCATTTTTCCCATTAGAAAAAACAAAGTCGGTGTTGGCATATAGCTTAATAAAAGTATTTAACAATTGGCTAGATATCTAAATATTTTTAAAGTGTAAAGTCCACTTTTGATCCTCTGGTTTAATCGAAAATTCGAAAACGGTCCAGTTGCTTCAATAAGTATACATATAGTCCATAGAGTATGCATCTGGCTCCTAAACCAATCATTTGTCTTAACACCATTAACGAGGAGTCTGTTAACTGAGGGGCATTTAGGTCTTTTTACCATTTTTATCAATTTCTTTTAAAAAAGTTCATTATATTTGTTAAAAAATCTAAAAACCTCCCCCACTTCCCCATGATATCCTGAAACCACTTCGGTCACCCTCACTATATTATTTCTCTCTCAAACTTACCTATATTGTTCGAATCTATGTTTTGGGTTTAAGTCTTTGAGGTTCGTAATCAGGCTCAATTATATTTCTTGAATGGTTTGAAATAGAGAGGGACGTAAAAGTTGAAGAAAATGGATCGGAGTGGGATTGGTAGGAAAGGCGTTCAAGCTTTCAAAAGAGATTTCTTAGCGGAGACGAAGGGGGAGGGATGAAAAAAGTGTAAAACACATATCGAAGGAGGAGGGGGAAGGGGATGAAAACTCGGTCAGGTTGCCGAAAGAGGCCTGTAACTCACAATATAACGAGAACAAGAAATACAGATGAGCGGAATTGAAAAGGGTTTGTCTTTTTTTTTTAATATTAATCACTTTTTAGGTAAGGAAAAAATGCACAAAATTTGTAAAAAAAAGTAATTGAAAAACTTATAAAAGTAATTGCATTTTCTTAGCAATCCAAAATGAAATATATCGATTTTTATTTTAAATCGAGAACTGTTTTTTATTTGATTTGGGTATAAAATAGAAGTGTATCTGGATTGAGTCGGGTGGTTTATGACATTTACA